CCCACTGCCACACAGGGACCCATGCACAGCCCCTGCTGTCACATGCCTCCCCCATGCACAGTCTCCACCCGCACCCCCGCCATGCACAACCTCCACTGCCACATACACCCTGTCAGCATTCCCTGCTACTGGCGGGTCCTTGGGGAACTCCTGGCTGCAGCAAGCGAATCCCCAGTGTTGCATGGCTCCAGTGAATCCCGGAGGCTGAATGTGGCGGCATGGAGCTGGCCCGTTCCAGCCTGCTGGTGTGCACCTTCAGGGCAGGCTCAGCTGGTTTCATGCCAGCACGTGGGGCTCGCAGCCCACCCCGCTTTCCTGCAGGCAGGAGCTCCCCTCCCCACTCACCAGCTACGCCCCAGGGAATTATGCGATATTATGTGATTATACACAGGCATACATTTTACACACCAAATTACGTGGGCGCATAATGGCATAATTCCCTGGGGTGTATATTGTGTGTTTGGACACCTTGAGTATTTTCGTTACATTTATATATTCTGCTGAGACGTGGGTTGCAAATTTTGGATCCAGAGCTTAACTATTCCCAAATTTAGGGGTATCAAGATTTCAGCTTGTTTTGGGCTTTTTGGTCATGGTACACTTGTGATCTTCTGATCACAAGTTAATCAAAAGGTATTTTATCAAAGAAATGATCAGGAGTCAGCATATAAACTGTTGATATAGATTGCAAATGTAAATTCAGTGAAATTATGCATTTTTGGTAGATCTGAATTACTTATATTTTCCATTGTTCTGTTTTAACAGGAAGGTCCTCACCTATGTTACATCCATTATGTATCACATGTTAAGATCTGTGAAGGCTTAGTGCATTTTTATGGAATGCATCTACAGAATGTGAACCCAAAATAAATAAGAAAGCATAATTCTTAAATAAGATGGAACTGTTTGCTGCTTTATTATTTTTTCCCTTCTGGCAATTGGATTGAAGAATTAATTTAGTTACTATAGCATCAGGTCTGAAAAAATACCTAAATTTGCCATTTTAATGGTTGTTCATGATCAGATCCACTGTTCTACAGGTTATTGCCTTTTAAATAGGGAATAGTACACACAAATTATGTATCTTCTGAATACCGTTTCTTCTCATTTCGTTGCATTTTTGAGTGATACATATTCCTAGCATTTATAAGACAAGTAGGGCTACATCTTTTTTTATAGACTAAAAAGACTTACAATAGTAGTACTAGTGGTAATCCAAACTATGTTTGAATCTTAGGAAAACCTGATTGTAGTGGACCAGTCCCACTGCTGCTGTGGGGTAGCAGCTGTCAAGAAATAATGTACAGGTTTATAGCAGGATTACTACTAGTTAACAGAAGTTTTTAGCATTTAAAGGGATAGGTATGTGTAGAATCTTTGTCGAACTAAATATGTTTGCCTATTTTCTACCATACTTGCTACTGATTATTGCATCATTTTTTTGTATTTGTTCCGTTCTGATTTTTTATATTTAATCTGTTCCATACTTTTTGCCATGTATGATTATTATTTTGCATGGCTTGACCTGAAATAACAAAACTTTAAATAAAACGTATAGCACTTTAATAATACAAATTTAAAATTGTCAATCTGTTATTTCCCCCAGGTCTCACTACGGCCAGCTGGAGAAAATGAGTGATCTGGTGGCTGTATGGGAAGTAGCTCTAAGTGATGGTGTTCACAAGATCGAATTTGAACATGGAACCACATCAGGGAAACGTGTTGTGTATGTAGATGGAAAGGTAAATTATGTGTATATGCAAAATTAAATATTTATATAAGTGTGACTTAAGGTTTATCATAGTCTACATTGGTTACACTAAGATGCTTAATGGCAATATGGTATATCATTTGTTCAACCAAAATTTAGGTAAGAAGAGGAGGCAAAGGAAATGAGCAAGCCAGAGTATTTCAAAGGTTAGAAGAATTGTAGAAAGCAGAACCACAGGTGCAAAGTTGCCAGCTGTCCATAAATTTACAGACAGAGCATAAAAACGCCTCTATAAGGTTTGTAAAACAAAAAACAAAAAACCAAAACAAAAAAATCCCCACAAAACAAAACAAAAACTTGAGCCATCTGTAAACTGGACCTTGATTGAAGATCCCTCATCAGAGGCAAGTGTTCGGGGACAAAGAGAGCTGAGCAGAGCTACCTGGCTTTTGAGTGGGAGTGTAGCACCATATAGGAAGTATTCCCTCAAGATTTTGTAGCCTGTAGCTCTCCCTCTTTCTCCCCCATCATGTGCTGCTGCTCCGTGTCCCTGCCTGTAACACTAGGATGTGGCAGGTTGGCAGACAGTAATCCTTTGGGGTTATGTACCAGCAAGAGGGTGGGACCATCTGGGATATGGGTTGGGAGGCAGCATGGTGTGGGGTACAGTAGAGGGCTTCAGGATATGGGGATGAGTAGAAGACCCCTGGGGTAGAGAGTACCACTGTATTATTTTCCCTAGCATTTTTACCTCTATTCCTGGGAAAATGCTAGAGAAAATAATCAACGAACACATTTATGCAGGCCCAGCAGGGGAAACGATGCTGAGGGGAAACCAGCACAGGTTTGTCACAGGTAGATCCTGCCTGACAAACCTTGTAGCCTTCTATGACCAGGTCACACGCTGCCTGGACGTGGGAGCCAAGGCTGATGTCATCTTCCTGGACTTCAGGAAGGCCTTCGACACAGTTTCACACCCTATCCTCATTGGGAAGCTAGCAGACTGTGGAGTGGACGCCTACATGGTCAGGTGGGTGGCCAACTGACTTAAGGACCGCACCCAGAGAGTGGTGGTGGATGATTCCTTCTCAGCCTGGAGGGAGGTGGGCAGTGGGGTCCCGCGGGGTTCGGTCCTTGGACCAATATTATTTAATATCTTCATCAGCAATTTGGACGAGGGCGTGGAGAGCACTGTCTCCAAGTTCGCTGATGATACCAAGTTATGGGGCAGAGTTAGTATACTGGAGGGCAGGGAGCAGATTCAGGCTGACCTGGATAGGCCCCAGTACCCCTATAGGTTGGGGAGTGTCCTTCTCAGCAGCTCGGAGGCAGAGAGGGATCTTGGAGTCATAGTTGACTCCAAGATGAACATGAGCCGGCAGTGTAACGAGGCCATCAACAAGGCCAATCACACCTTGTCGTGCATTAGCAGGTGCATGACTAATAGATCAAAGGAGGTGATGCTCCCCCTCTATGCGGCACTGGTCAGGCTGCAGTTGGAGTACTATGTCTAGTTTTGGGCGCCACACTTCAAGAGAGATGCGAAAAATCTCGAGAGGGTCCAGAAGAGGGCCACTTGCATGATTAGTGGCCTTCGTGATAGACCCTACGGGGGGAGGTTGAGAGAGCTGAATCTCTTCAGCCTTCACAAGAGACAGCTGAGGGGAGATCTTGTGGCCGCCTATAAATTTATTAGGGGAGATTAACGGGGAATAGGGGAAGTGCTGTTTACTAAGGTGCCCCAGGGAGTGACTAGGAATAACGGGTGTAAACTAGTTGAGAGTGGGTTTAGGTTAGATATTGGGAAGAAATTTTTCACGGTAAGGGTGGCTAGGATCTGGAATGGGCTTCCAAGAGAGGTGGTGCTATCACCTAACTTGGAGGTCTTCAAGAAGAAGCTAGATAGTCACCTGGCTGGGGTCACCTGACCTCGGTCCTCTTTCCTGCCAGGGGCAGGGGGTCGGACATGATGATCCATTGTGGTCCCTTCCGACTCTACAATCTATGAATCTAAAACCAGTGCTGCAGTCAAATAGGGTTGCCCGCCCAATATTTTTTTTTCTTTCTACTAAACTGCAAACTTTTTACTGATAACCAAACCTTTTTACTATGGTTGGTGTTAAACCCAAAATGCGAACCTCCCACTTGTCCAGTGCCTCGCAGTAGGGTTACATTTGCATTTTGTCAGTAAAATAGTTTGGTTGTCAGTAACAGGTTTGCGGCTTGTCAGTAAAAAAATAAATAAAATTTAAAAAATTGTCTTGGGTTAGCAACCCAGCACAGGTGAAAAGAAGCAGACAAAAGTTTGTTCAGATCATATTTAGCAGTTTTGTGCTATTAGTTAGACCTGGTTTTTAACGAAAATGTGGCTTTAGGGAATAGAAATGTGGATTAAAGAGGGAATAGAAATAGGCATATTAATATTAATTAGAGTACAGTCTCTTAAAAACATTTTTATATTTTTAGCCTTATTTAGTAAAAGCTTTTGTTATTTAGATGGGCAATATAGTATAACAATCTGGGTCCACCTCAGAATTTTCACTCTTCAGTCTTGAATCATGCATGGTTCTTGTTGAATTGCCTACCTGCCCATATACCTGATTAGTGCTTTTTGAAAATAAGTTTCTAAAATGTAGGTAAGAAGTCCTTTTACCATGACAGGCTAACCACTTCTTAGAGGCTTTTTTGACTTTAGGATTTAGGAGATTTATTTAATAAGTCTGATAGTTTTGGGGTTAATGAACATTTTTATAAATAATAATTTGCTTGATATGCTTTATCTGTACTGTTTTGTCATTTACATTTTCTTTGTACTTCATTATTAAATTTGTATTTTTTTTATTTTATTTTTTTACATTTTGTTTGTGAGCATTTTATTTTGGTGGGACGGACTCTGACCCTGTCATGGTACCCAGAATACCTCTGGGAGGCTCAGCAGCAGCTAAACATAATAATAAGCAGAAGGGAGACTTTTTACATTTGTAACATAAAGTTGATCAAATGAAAAATTATTTTCCTGTTAAATCAGCAGTACATTGCTATAAGACATGCATAATGTTTGTAAATGGACTTGATACAGTGCTTTTGTTCACAGATATCAATACAAAGTATTATTTTTTTCAATTAATTACATTTTTCAAGTTCTGGGCCCACACTCAAATTCTGGTTCAATGTTTTATCCTCCTTCCTGACACTGAAATTAAAATGTTCAGGGTTTTTTAACCGTATTTTTCTCTTCTCTTATTCCTCAGGAAGAAATAAGAAAAGAATGGATGTTCAAATTAGTAGGTAAAGAAACATTTACTGTTGGAGCAGCAAAAGCAAAGGCAACCATTAACATTGATGCAGTGAGTGGCTTTGCTTATGAGTACACCTTGGAGATCGATGGCAAGAGCCTCAAGAAATATATGGAGAATAGGTCAAAAACAACAAATACCTGGGTATTAAGCTTGGATGGTATGGACTGTAGAGTTGTTTTAGGTAAGTATTGAATCGGTCCATATTACTGGCTTTATATAATCTTATGTATGTTTTATAAGTGTTTTTGCATTAACGGAAAAGATAGTCTAGTGGCTAACCTTGCCTTGGGCAGATCTGAGTTGGAGTCTCCAGTATGTCAGACTTCCTTTTCAGCCTTGGCCACATTCTTTTGTACTGAGATTTCTTGGCATTTTTGAAAAATCCCTGTTTGCTTAACTTTACAAATCTGGCTATTAGTATTTCTGTGCCCTGGCTTCCTGCCAGTAAAATGGAGTTGATATCACTTCCCTATGTACAAGAATTTTGTGAGAAAACAGATTGGGAGGCATTTGAGTACCATGGTGAAAGGAACCAGAGAAGATGCTTTGGTGGTACCCTTCCCCTAAAGGGTGCTAGTTATAGAAATGCAGATTATTTTAAACTATCTACAATTTTAAGCCGCACCTATCATTGGAGCATGTTAATACCTGCTTGTTAGCTAGTTATTTGGCCTTAGGATTCATTAGTCAGCATGCAGGAACTCTTAACTGAAGGTGATGACTGTGTTATCCTAAGTTTGCCTGTTTTTCAAAATAACTGTTTGGTAAATATTGCGTTTTCCCAAGGTCAAATTGTGCCTTTTCATGTGATTTAAATTAGCATGTACCTTAATGTCAGAAACCGCACCAGGCTTGAATAGGATGAGGATAGAAAAGAATTTGAGTAAGGGGTCATCTTAATCCCATATCTAGTCCTTTTTTATTTAAACAGCATAAATAAAACGAGCAAGATCTGGCCCCTCCCAGAGAAGGCCAGTCTCAATGTGAATCCTATAATGGAAGCACCTGGGAGGTGGTGTTGGGTAGGATGATCATAACCGTGCTTAACAACAAACAACAGTTACTAATTACTCCTTTTTTAATACCTCTCTTTTTTTCTAATGGACATGGTACATTTTTTTCCAGATGATTTAAGAGTCTGAAAAGTGAGGGTATTGAAGCTGGTTTTGAGTCGGGTAACAATCTTAATTTTAGAACGTGTTACTTTATTTAATGACCAGCAACTGAAGAAAAAAGTTAAACAATTCAACAGAAATATTTTCCTTCAGAATACATCAGACAGTATTCAGATGAAGCCAAGTTTTATAGCCAAAGGTCATAGACGAGCAAAAATATGGCTTTATTCTACAACGTGGCTTGACCCTGATGGTGGTAAACCTACACCCTCTTTTTATGAAGAGTAATGTTGTAATCCAGGCATTATAATTGATCTGGATAATTTCTGAGTTATAATTAAACACTGGCAAAACATTTGGGATTTTTAAATCTTGCTATTTTATAAAGAAGCATGTCATTCTTGTTCTGTCTTTCTCCCATTTTTACAGAGAAGGACACTATGGATGTCTGGTGCAACGGTAAAAAAATGGAAACAGTGGTATGTGGTAACTTTAAAGGCATTCATTTTAGATGCGTATTCTGGTTTATCAGTTGAAACAGACATTTCTTACAGTTAGACCACTAAAATACATGTGGTCTAGGACAAATAGTTTCCTGATAAAGTGACTTTTGTTTTCTAGAGGTGAAATACGTAATTCAGACGGTGAGAGATGAAGTTACCTGTTTGCTGTTTTTTCATTAAAGTGTTTTGTAGAGGAAGAGTTGGGGACACAGACTAAATGGTCCAGGGTCTGATATGGATCATAGAGCCTACTCATTTCAGTCTTCCTGGATTAGCAGTAACTGATTGTCAAGTAAGGCATGAGGTTCAATATAACACAGATCAGGGGTGGGCAGTTTTGGAGGCTGGAGGGCCACTTAAGGAGTTTTGGCAAGTTGGTGAAGGCCATATGGTGTGGTGCTGACTCAGCCTCCTGTCACGGCTGTTTACACCACCCGGTGCTGGGGGGTAAGGGGGTGTCCCAGTTGATCCTGTTCAGCCCCATTTGTCCTGCACCCAACACTGGAGGCAGTGGACAGAGAGGACAGGTGGATATCTATGGTGGCTGGCCTGGGACCACAGCATGCAGGGTGGATGGGATGGGGCAGTGGGCAGGCAGGGAGCAGGATGGGTGGCCAGGGTGAGGATCACAGGGAGGTGACAGTGTGGGGCTAGGGCCCGGGGCAGAGCCGCGATCCACTCCCTGCACGTCCCTGCTACGGATGCCAGTTTTGTCTTGGCTCATTTTACATGAGCTGGGTGGTGCGGGGAGGGAAGGATCAGCTGTGCAGGGCAGAATGTGTGGCTTGTCTCCTTACAGAGAGGCTGGGTAATAGGCAAGGGAGGAGCGGTCACGAAGGGAGATCCGGAGCTGCAGTACTCTAGTTAAGAATCACTAAACTGTTAAGACGGGCCTTAAAACTGCAGGTCCTTTTCCAGGTCCTCTGAATTGACTTATGTTCAGAATTAGCCATGGTGTAAACCAGTGCAACCTCACAGATTTCAGCTGGTACACTAAGGCTGAACTAGGCGCACAAGTTTTGAATTGCAGTGAACATGTCAGTGATACTGCTCATTTAAATCCTTGACCAGATTTCAATTCATTTGAAAAAAAAATCTGCATGCTCAGCATTCCTGGCAAAGCAAACCGTAGCTGGGAAGTTTTAGTTTTATACTTACCACTTGTCTCAGCTTTTCAGCTACCAAGTACATCATGTGAGGTTTCTACCTGTTAGACCTGTGTGTGTTCAGTGCTTCTGAAAATCAGGCTATTATGCAGCATTTTGTTAATAAACATACTAGTGCTTTTCTGTGACATACTGTCTCCTTTATCCCAGGGTGAATTTGTAGAAGATGGAACAGAAACTCACTTCAGCGTTGGTGATCACGATTGTTACATTAAGGCTGTTAGTAGTGGAAAGCGAAGGGAAGGAATCATTCATACTCTTATTGTGGATGACAGAGAAATTCCAGAGGCTATGGAGTAGCCTCTATTTAATCCGGCTGTGTTAGAAATAAAGATCAGGGATTTTCAATTACTGTGGTAATTAATTATTTTAATACGTACTACTTGGTACATTTAGTTTGTGCTGTTTTTATTTTCTAATTACTGTATATGAAATTATATTCTCCAAGGACCAGATGAGCTGTCTGATTATATACAACCTCATACATTGCCAGTTTTTTTGTAAATTGTATAAATATAATATATAACACTAAAGGGAAGAGGGCAAAGTGGACTGAAATCAATTGTTCACAAGGGACACTTTGCTACAACAAAATGTGAAATAAATAAGTAGCAAGATTTGATTTTTTGTCTTGGTTTTGCTTTTAAACTTTAAAAGTGTTTTGAGGTTCTTGATAAAGCTGCTCCGTACAATCTTTAAACAGCTGGTACATGTAGCAATGGACCATTACATTTTCTCATTAAAAAGTTTCTTGTAACATACACATTTTGAATGCTTGTTTTAAAATTCATGGTAGGAGAATGAAGAATAGCTATATATAATGTCTATATGTGTATAATAAATTTGGATATGCATATATATGTAATTACATGGAAATATATACTGTTATTTCAGGATACTCTTAAGAGTAAGGGTAGATAGAAGTCTACTGTGCGTGGTAAGGAAAGATAAACATCTCAGTAGTTTGAAATCTGTTGTAACGTGTAAGATTTTTCTGCGTCAAGTAACTATTTACTTTTAAAAAAGTAAACCTAAGTTTGCAAGATAATTTTATAATGTGAAACACTTGGATAAGTAATAAGTAAGCCAGCAGTTAGCTAATAACACTTTGAAACTAGAACTGCTTGTTTTCATGGTGGTGTGTAGGATGGTGGTATGTGGAAAAAGGAAATACATATAAAATTAGCAGAAATAAGGGAAGAGAATCAATTTATCTAATGGAAAGACTGAGAAAAGTGGAAATATATATTTTCAAGTTTCCAGGAAAGAGTTTAAAACTTAATTTATATATTTAAATAAGCTGTATGCCTAGAGCATTACAGATAAGTGCTGTGAATTCAGTTATAGAATGCATCTAAAAATTCACTGTGGGATACAGGGAGCTGTAATAAACATGGATGCATCTTGTGTGTTAGCATTGCAAGAATATTTTGAAGCTTAACACTGTGCTCTACTTACAGATGAGATACCTTTTAGAAAACAGCCCTATTTGCTGTATTAAGCCAGTGGTTCTCAACCTTTTGAAATTCACACCAGCCCCCCATTAGACTCAAAAAGCACACCTTGGAAAATGCCAGCTCTTTACCTCTCGCTCTATTCTTGACTATGAAAAAGTACTAGAGTAATTCTTCAGTTGGAAAAAAAACTCGGACCACAACAGGTCCGAATGGTTTTAACATTGTGGATTCCTGTTTGAAACGTCTGAGTTTATCTTGTGAATCATGTAGATGTTTCTACACCCAACTCTGCTAAAATTGCACAGCACCCTTCAAAGGATCTCGTGACGCCCCCATGTGCATCAACACCCTGGTTGATAATCACTGCATTAAATGGTATCTAAATACAAAAACCTTTTTGTCTGTAGCTACTTGTTTCTTTTCAGTCTGGAAGTGGAAATTAAAGGGAAAGCCATTTGATTGCCTGTTTCTTGGTTATCCGTCATATGAGTTAGTTTTAAATTAACACTACACAGTTAGGCACATGTATGCTGTTTAGTAATAACTGATCAAGGAAAAGACATTGGGTCAACTGCTTTCAGTCTCACCAGTGCTTGCCAGGCAGTGGGGGTTGCCCTTGTATAAACGCAAATACATAAATGAACGCGTTGAAAGCTCGTCTTTTTAATCAAAATTTATTAATTTAATCAAAAATTATTAATGTAAAGCAATGCTTGAAATTGAACTTGGCTCTGTGGCCCAAAGATGAAGACTAGAAGGCAAATCCCATCCTGGGAACTAGTTTCAAATATTTGCACTTGTAGCTCCAGCTGCAATCCAGGTCCATTGTAAAATGGACAAGGAGAGATTTTTTTTTTAATTATTATTGTTACTTTAACTTGTATAGCATTTCAGACTTTCTGTAAAATGAGTGCAAGTTAAAGTTCCGGGACCCTCCATAAAGTAATAGTATAACCTATTATTATAATAGTAATAGTATAACCTGTGATCCCTTGGTGAATGTAAGCCCCAACTTGGAAAACTTGTATTTAATTCCCACCCCCTCCAACACCCC